TCTTTGGTAATAACATACATGAAAAGAGTTGTAAATGGTACATGAGTATTTGTCTACATCAATAACCCACTTCTTGTGATGACCAAGATTAAACTGATTGAATCTTTGCGCAGCATAAAACGTATGACCATTCGGTACAATTGTCTGAAAATCAAGACTATTACTTTTGGGCTCTATAGCCCTAAAGTCGATTTGACAACTAATAGTCGTTATTTTCCCACTTGAAGACATTTTCAAGCCCCACCTTTTTTAGGGAAGTTCTAAATTAGTATTATCTTTCAAATGCAGTTGGAATTTAACTTTTTCATTTTTTTGGCCTGCAAATGGGACACAGTCCCTTTAATGGAGTCATGTTAAGTCATATGAAGTGCAAACGGGGTACGGATTTAAGGTGACAAGAGAGGGAGTAACCTTTTAACTTCCCGCCCCACCCCTTTCCCCTTCCTCCTCCTTCCATCCTGAAGGTACCTCAATCATTGGTATTGTTCTCAGAGGCCCATACCCCCCAGAAATCATAACACAGACAGGCAGGATGGATAGGGGGCAGGTTAAATGAGGAATAGCCGCCAGGCAGGGAGGAGAAGACATCAGTATAACATACATAAAAAATAAGGAGTTATTTATTGACAAAATGTCAAAGACAAGGACACTAAGAGTGTGTTGCAATAGTAAACAAGAGATCTTTACTTAAAATACATCCAGTGAGCAAAACATATGAGGGGCCATACTTAATTACCCACAGCCTCAAAAAAGGCTGTAAAACATTCAATAAATCCTAATGAAAAATCTTTCTTTTCTCTTTAACTTGCGAACACAAAAAGAGCTCATGTGAATAGTAATACACATGCTGAATAGACAAACAGAGCAAAAATAAAAGAGAGAAAATTAAGACAGAGAGAAAAAGAAATGAGAGGGAAGGGGGAGCAAGAGAGAGAGAGAGAGAGAGAGAGAGAGAAAGAGAGAGAGACCAACAGACCAGCAGACAGACAAACACGTACAGAGAGAGAGAGAGCACTGCAAGGTGGAGAAATAGTGTGTCAGTAGAACCAACATGCATCCCCATCCAAAAATAAATAACTAAATAAAATTACATAAACACATTCTAAGATCTTCAGTAGATATGAGCTATAACACACAAACCATCAAAAACTTACAGGTAACAATATTGACTATCCAAAAAATAACTTTCATGACATTTCATTTGACCAGAATACATGATTAAACAAATAACTGATGACAGCAAAATCTTTAAAAAAAACACCACACATTAGTAGAATGTGGCTTTCATCATGTATAAGTTGTAAAAATTACCAACACTCTGAATGATATAGACTAGGTACATGTATGGGTGGCTCGCTATCTCTCTCTCTCTCGGTATCTGTCTCTGTCTATCGTCTGTTTGGTGCCAGAAGGGTGTTAAACCATATACTTTAACAGCCGATTTAACACCCTTCCGGCTCTGAACACACAAATTATTTCATGCCCAATTTAAAAATGACAAAATGACTTAACAAACAAAGAGGACTCTTGAAACTTCATTTCCTAACTTCATTTCCTAAGTTCACTTCCTAACAACTATTTTTCTTATTGCTCAGAAGTGGTTATGGAATTATCATAGAATTATATCTGGTATATCGCTCATTTCATTTCACAGGAGGGAAGTGTGTATTCCAACTACCTGGCCTAACATCCTATATAACAGCTAAAACAAACCCCAATACTTCCTGGGCAAAGAAAGATTAAGATCACAATTTCCATTGCAGCTGATATACTGATTACCATGATGAGACTTCAATTTTTGGTGCTACAATTTAACTGCAATATGTGTCAATAGCCCATTAAATCCCTTGTGACAGGTACTCTTGTTTTTATTAGACATCTTTAGGATCAAATGAGAAAATATTACAATTATCATGTATTACTTTTACAATAATGATTATGATCAAACATATCTCACAATCACTGTTCGAGAATTGAGTATTAGTTTGACTGATTTTGACAACCCCAGCTCAAATTGGTTGGAAAATTTACCTGACTGGTAAGAAAGCGTAAATGCTTGTTAGTAAGCAACCAGACAGCTTTAGGTCCACTCCAAGCAACCTGGTAATGAGGATTAATGCCTTACCAACTGAGCTATCACGCCTCATCAAATGATCACAGTAATTTCTGGACACGATATATAATTGCACTCAGTGACTACACATTTTATTCTTCTGGTTAAAGTTTATTTATTTGTGTGCTTGTGTGTGTGATTTTTTTTTGGGGAGGGGGGTTGGGAGGTCAGAAAGGCTGTTAAGCAGTGAGTGGTGTATGACCTTTCAACTTACCTTGCAAAGGTTAATGAACTTCTCCGCCTCATCCTCCAAGACGAAGTTGAGACCCCAGGCCCCGCCCAGTTCTGAATCCTTCCACTGGATGAATGTGGGGGTGCAGCGCGTCAACTGGGTTCCTACAAAAAATGTAAAAGTAGATACAAATTGACAACTCTGGTTTAGTAAATACATGTCTATCTGCTTTTAAAATGCATTGAATGATGAACATGCATTTTTATGCAGGTATTTAAAAAAAAAGGTAAAGTAATGTACAATGTATCTGACGTCAATACAGGGGTAAGAATCCAACAGAATAGACAAAAACTATGATTCTTAAAAATGAGTGTTTATTATAACTATAAAAGATATTTTAAGATGCAAGTTTCTATTTAAAAGTCTGTAAAATATCAATAATAATAATGATAAAGACTAATTCATGTAATGTGAAAATAATTAGAGTCTCTCTATGTCATTTGGTTGAAGCCAGAAGGTGGTTACCTTGTATATTCTTTTACAAGTGGCTAATTCCCTTCAAATTCTCAGCAAATAAATAGGTAAAGATCGGTCTATTACATTTACATTATTGAGAATTATCTACTTTTTCGAAAGAGAAGACATTGAATTTTCTGTTTGGAGGAACAAGGGTGTAACTCTATGGTAACAACTGAGTGCCCTATAGTGACCTCCAAACAGATCTAGATAGACATGTTATGCACAATTCATACCACATAGTCAAAGGCACAACAACATGTACCTCTAAATGAAGATAATGCAAGACACTGGTAATAACTTGAAGATATCCGCCCAAATTAAGAGCGGGAGTCGAGCGAGTGATCCGCCCACAAACGCCACTCACTCCTAGCTGACCCGTTATTAGCTCAATTACGACTTAATCGGCGACTTCTTCTCGTTATTAAACGCCGCTCAATGAATGCATCTTAATGCCTAACAAGAGCGCTGTCAATATAAAGTGGCCTGCCCTAAATACGGGGGACAGCCTGGAGAGGTTCTGGGTTTGCGGTAGCGCTGTATATTAGGAGAACGCCATGCAGAGGCATGCATGCCTTTACGTCTTGATTCTACAGAATTTCCTCTGCTAAGTGCCAAAACAGCTCTAACTTTGTCAACTTTTACTGATTAAATGCCCTTCTGGCTCTCAACAGATGATTTACATGTGTCCTTGTATAGCTTCGGAAAATGCACAATGCATAAGGTCGAAGGTCAACTAACGATTCAAAATGGTAGAAGCAAGGGGGCTTAATTTCATCGGTAAAATATTCAGGTTATTCCAAGTCAAATACATTTTAGACTGGCCTTGGTAAGAAAAGGGAAAACCCCTATACCTAGCTTGCCGACCACTTTCTTCAAGAGTCATCAATATGGAACAGTGAATGTTAAAATCGAACAGACACTGTTAAATGCAGCTATTTCCTCCTCATTGGACATGCATATAGCCTTTAAAGCACACCGCACACTTCACAATCGTCCTGCGATTCAATTTTCAAAGAAATGGTTATTGTATTATAGATCTCAATTTCCTATTTTATAGTTTCTAAAAAATGATAAGAATACTGACAACCTGAATTTTTGTGCAGTGAACTCTTCAATTCAGTGTAAAAGAAGAATCAGAGGCAATATCGCACCAGCTGGTCTGATGTCACTACTATTCTGAGCCGATTTAGATTTTCCTCTTCAAAACAAGCATGAAATCCTTTGAAATTTAGATTTTCTTAATCATATGATTAATCAGATCGCCTGTCGTTAAAATTTTACCTGTTTGCATGTTTGTATCAAATGCTACTGCAAATTCTTTCAAAATCTGATCGTAGTTGGATCTTTTGCTATGCAGTTGGCTTTATGGATGTCGAACCTCACTACTCCACTGAGTTACAAATAGTGGACAGCTAGCATCCGTAAATTCACTGGCAGATCCACCCCCCCCCCCAACTATACCCACCACCGCAGCAATCACATGCGTGCAACATACGCAAAACCGAAGCGTGAGGAGAACTTTGGTCTGTTTTGCGAACGCTAGTGTCACTGCCCATGTAGAGATTAAGTCGCTGACTACCGTTATTCGAGTCCATTCGTTTACGTGCAGTTGTCCAAAAGGAGTAGATGGTTATTTCCCAAGCTACACTCCCTTTAACTGCAAACACAATTGCCTCAATTTTTATTCAAATTCTCCTTCTATGCACCGTCTGGATATATCCATGGCAACTGCAATCACTGTAACTGTAATATTTTGTCAGTGAATTGCAATGTTTAAGCCTGTCAAAATCAGGCGTTTCAATCATAAATCCCTTACAAATCCATGGGAAATTCTCTTACACTCCACCCAAAGTATATTAATTAAATCCAGATTGGATAATATTTGTCAAATCATGCCTGCAATTACCTATGTCTGTATCGGTCTGTCTATCGGCCCCTCTGTCTTCCCCTTTCTCTCCAGGACCATTTACCTCATTTAATTTATATGGCTTTCTATTCTCTTTCTCTCACTTCTGTGCAAGATATAAATACACAAAGAGTTGGTTAGGGACTATTTAAATTGAGATGCATAACCCCCCCCCCCCCCCACATCTTTGTCTCCCTCTCTCTTATACAGACAAACACACAAACACAAACATTATCTGTCTCCCTCGCTCTCTCTATCTTGCACATACACTTCACTTCCATACATTCCCTCTCTCTCTCTCTCTGATTCCCGCATCGGTGTATCAACCTCATATGAAACACTCTTTGTGTTATGATTATTTTGTTAATATTTTAGGAATAAGACAAGTAAATTGAGAGATAGAGAGAACTTTTTCTGCTCTTTAAAACTGTTCCGGTTTTAATTTGAAAAAATATGTCCTCTCTTTTATACTTATCAGAAAAGATGCATTAGACTTCTTTTGTTTACTGTAGACATAACACTGCAAAATGAGCATTATCTTCAAATCAAGAAAATGATAATATCTCTAGAAAAGATCATTGCATTGGCACCAAACCTTTTTATTTACAATTTAGGTATGCCTAAGAGTATTTTCTATGTTATTTTTTGTGACTTTTTTGTTATTTAGTATTTTTAAAAGTTAAAATTAGGATGGAAGACTTTTTTTGTCAAAGAGAGAGTATTTTGATAATTGCATCCGTGCCTCATTTTTCACTTTTTGAAAACCGTTTTTCAGCCTTCAATTTTTGTGCATTGACTGGAAATATATTGAAAACTCTTAACATTGACATGATATAACTCTATCTTTTAGAGAATATGAAAAATTAACTCTCTGAATTATAAAAAACATCATACCAAATTTTAGCATTTCTATTATCTCTATGTACTGAGCCTATGCAAACCTTATTTTGTATTGCTCAGTTTGAATGCTTATATTCGTGAAAATATCCCATGGCTTAACACAGTTTTTATGAAAAGCTATAATTCAAGACTTAATATTTCATATTACCTTTTGTTCATTTCGATAATTTTATATTTTCATCACCAAAAATTAGTTTGAAATTCGAATAATTTAAAAGAATTTTAATACTCTCAGAGAGCGCCATCTATTGACCAGGCCGTGTACATTTTACATTCAACATACACACTTAACATGGGTTATGTATTATGCGAATTTCATGCTCTTGACTTGGGTTTAGTATCTACGATGATCGTTTCCCGGATTCAATAGTCAAAGGAATTAGTTTGTGCTATGACATTTCGACTACTATTAGAGAGAAATCACCAAAATGTGTTCATTACATGTGCATTGCAAGAAAGTCCGCGAAACTCGAGAAATTACTACACAAGAGAAGGGGCTACAGACAGCAATTTATCGGCTTTGCTACACTGAATATCCCCGAGCGTAGCCCGGGGGCTAACCCTAGGTGCCGCTGGCTTCTCCTCCGCCAGACTGACTGTGTATCGGACTCAAGTACTCAGCTCAGCTCAGCTCGGCGTTTGTGTTATTTATCGTACCGGTAAGTATAATTGAAAAGGCCCTAAATGTCTTAAGCACAAGTAACTCAAATGAGCTGCTTAACTTTAGAATACCTCACTAGTCTAGGCTATGTAAATGATGAAGATAAACGTTGAAGCCATATAGCCTAGCCTAGGCTAGGGTTAGGGTTGGGATTAGGGTTAGGGTTGGGATTAGGGTTAGGGTTACTATTAATAGTTAGGATTAGGGTTAGGTTTAGTGTTACGTAAGAAACTTCGCGATAGATCAGAAGTATATCCAAACTTTGACCCATGACTCTAGCGTGGAGAGAACATAAAATTAAACGTCGAAGCCCTAGGCCTAGGATTTAGGGTTGTTAGAGTTACTAGTTTAGTTAGGATTAGGTTTAGTGGTTATCCTATACTTTAGGGTATTTTATTATTTTCGGTTCCTAACTTCAGTCAACAGCTCTACATGCATATATCTATTATGTCGTGTCATACGGCCCTGCTCCTGGGCGCCCACGCACAGGTTTAAAGTGACACACTGGTTTTTGAATCTACAGACCTACTTGATAATTGATTGTTTAATGGCCTGCTTTCAAGAGTGAATGTAGGGTCTATGCGTATAATCGTATATTACCTTTTTTCGTTTTTAGTTTTTTTTTATTAAATAGGAACAGTGGGTGGGATTGTTTGAGGGTGATGAGAAGAGAGACAGCATATTCATATAGGCCTAGCCTGGATTATTAGGGTCTAGTGGTGGGGGCGGTGGGTAGGGAGGGAGGAGGGGCAGGAAGGGGCGTTAACGGGATAAAAAGGAGTACATATTACCTACTTCGTTTTAAGGGGTTTTAGTAATTATGAACAGTGGGCAGGATTGTGTGAGGGTGATGAGTACAGTGACAGCATATTCATGTAGCCCGGATTATAAGGGGGTAGTAGTGGGGAAGCTGGGGGGGGGGGGGGGGGGAAGGGACTTAATTGGATATAAAGAGGTGCATATTACCTACTTCGTTTTAAGGGGTTTTATTAAATATGAACAGTTGGCAGGCTTGTTTGAGGGTGATGAGAAGGGGGACGGCAAATTCATATAGCATGGATTATTAGGGGCTAGTGGTGGGGGCGGTGTGTGGGGAGGGGGCGGGGGCGGGAAGGGTCATTAACGGGATAAAAAGGAGTACATATTACCTCCTTCGTTTTAAGGGGTTTTATTAAATATGAACAGTAAACAGGATTGTCTGAGGGTGATAAGTATAAGGACGGCATATTCATGTAGCCTGGATTATTAGGGGCTAGTGGTGGAGGCGCTGGGGGGGGGGTGGGGTGGGGGAGGGGTCGGGGAAGGGTTGTTAATGGGATTTAAAGGAGTGCATATTACCTACTTCGTTTTTAAGGGGTTTGGTAATTATGAACAGTGGGCAGGATTGTCGAAGGGTGATGAGTAAAGGGACAGCATATTCATGTAGCCTGGATTATTAGAGGCTAGTGGTGGGGGCGTTGGGGGGGGGGGGGACGGGCGTTAATTGTATATAAAGAAGTGCATATAACCTACTTCGTTTTAAGGGGTCTTATTAAATATGAACAGTGGGAAGGATTGTTTGAGGGTGATGAAAAGAGGGATGGCATATTAATATAGCCTGGATTATTAGGGGCTAGGGGGGGGGGGCGGAGGGTGGGGGAGGGAGCGAGGCCGGGAAGGGTCGTTAATGGGATATAAAGGAGTGCATATCACCTACTTCGTTTTAAGGGGTTTTATTAAATATTAACAGTGAACAGGATTGTCTGAGGGTGATGAGTATAGGGACGGCATATTCATGTAGCCTGGATAATTAGAGGCTAGTGGTGGGGGCGCTGGGGGGGGGGGGGGGGGACGGGCGTTAATTGGATATAAAGAAGTGCATATTATCTACTTCGTTTTAAGGGGTTTTATTTATTATGAACATAGGGCAGTATTGTTTGAGGTTGATGAGAAGAGGAAGGGCACAGTTATGTAGCCTGGATAGGAAGGGACTAGTGGTGGGGGGGGGGGGGGAGGGGTCGGGGTGTCGGGTAGGGGCCTTAATTGGACAAAAAGGGGTGTATATTTACCTACTTCGTTTTAAGGGTTTTTATTTATTATGAACAGAGGGCAGTATTGTTTGAGGTTGATGAGAAGAGGAAGGGCACAGTTATGTAGCCTGGATAGGAAGGGACTAGTGGTGGGGGGGGGGGGAGGGGTCGGGGTGTCGGGTAGGGGCCTTAATTGGACAAAAAGGGGTGTATATTTACCTACTTCGTTTTAAGGGTTTTTATTTATTATGAACAGAGGGCAGTATTGTTTGAGGTTGATGAGAAGAGGAAGGGCACAGTCATGTAGCCTGAATAGGAAGGGACTTGTGGTGGGGGGGGGGGGGGGGGGGAGGGGGTCGGGGGTCGGGTAGGGGCCTTAATTGGACAAAAAGGGGAGTATATTACCTACTTCGTTTTAAGGGTTTTTATTAAATATGAACAGTGGGCAGGATTGTCTGAGGGTGATGAGAAGAGGAATGGCATGTTCATATAGCCTGGATTATTAGGGGCTATTGGAGGAGCGGTGGGGGGAGGGTTCGGGGGGGGGGGCCTTAATTGGACAAAAAGGGGTGTATATTACCTACTTCGTTTTAAGGGTTTTTATTAAATATGAACAGTGGGCAGGATTGTCTGAGGGTGATGAGTAGAGGTACAGCATATTCATGTAGCCTGGATTATTAAGGGCTATTGGAGGGGCGGTGGGGGAAGGGTCGGGTAGGGGCGTTAATTGGATATAAAGAAGTGCATATTACCTACTTCATTTTAAGGGGTTTTATTTATTATGAACATAGGGCAGTATTGTTTGAGGTTGATGAGAAGAGGAAGTACAGCATATTCATGTAGCCTGGATTATTAGGGGCTAATGGAGGGGCGGTGGGGGAAGGGTCGGGTAGGGGCGTTAATAGGATATAAAGAAGTGCATATTACCTACTTCGTTTTAAGGGGTTTTATTTATTATGAACATAGGGCAGTATTGTTTGAGGTTGATGAGAAGAGGAAGGGCACAGTTATGTAGCCTGGATAGGAAGGGACTAGTGGTGGGGAGGGGGGGGGGGGGAGGGGTCGGGGTGTCGGGTAGGGGCCTTAATTGGACAAAAAGGGGTGTATATTTACCTACTTTGTTTTAAGGGTTTTTATTTATTATGAACAGAGGGCAGTATTGTTTGACGTTGATGAGAAGAGGAAGGGCACAGTCATGTAGCCTGGATAGGAAAGGACTTGTGGTGGGGGGGGGGGGAGGGGGGTGGGGGGTCGGGTAGGGGCCTTAATTGGACAAAACGAGGTCTATATTACCTACTTCGTTTTAAGGTTTTTTATAAATATGAACAGTGGGCAGGATTGTTTGAGGGTGATGAGAAGAGGGACGGCGTGTTCATATAGCCTGGATTATTAGGGGCTATTGGAGTAGGGGTGGGGGGAGGGTTCGGGGGGGGGGGTCTTGTAGGGCCCTAATTGGACAAAAAGGGGAGTATATTACCTACTTCGTTTTAAGGGTTTTTATTAAATATGAACAGTGGGCAGGATTGTCTGAGGGTGATGAGTAGAGGTACAGCATATTCATGTAGCCTGGATTATTAAGGGCTATTGGAGGGGCGGTGGGGGTAGGGTCGGGTAGGGGCCTTAATTGGATATAAAGAAGTGCATATTACCTACTACATTTTAAGGGGTTTTATTTATTATGAACATAGGGCAGTATTGTTTGAGGTTGATGAGAAGAGGAAGGGCACAGTTATGTAGCCTGGATAGGAAGGGACTAGTGGTGGGGGGGGGGGGAAGGGTCGGGGTGTCGGGTAGGGGCGTTAATTGGATATAAAGAAGTGCATATTACCTACTTCGTTTTAAGGGGTTTTATTTATTATGAACATAGGGCAGTATTGTTGAGGTTGATGAGAAGAGGAAGGGCACAGTTATATAGCCTGGATAGGAAGGGACTAGTGGTGGGGAGGGGGGGGGGGATGGGTCGGGGTGTCGGGTAGGGGCCTTAATTGGACAAAAAGGGGTGTATATTTACCTACTTCGTTTTAAGGGTTTTTATTTATTATGAACAGAGGGCAGTATTGTTTGAGGTTGATGAGAAGAGGAAGGGCACAGCCATGTAGCCTGGATAGGAAGGGACTAGTGGTGGGGGGGGGGAGGGGTCGGGGTGTCGGGTAGGGGCCTTAATTGGACAAAACGAGGTGTATATTTACCTACTTCGTTTTAAGGGTTTTTATTTATTATGAACAGAGGGCAGTATTGTGTGAGGTTGATGAGAAGAGGAAGGGCACAGTCATGTAGCCTGAATAGGAAGGGACTTGTGGTGGGGGGGGGGGGGGGAGGGGGTCGGGGGTCGGGTAGGGGCCTTAATTGGACAAAAAGGGGAGTATATTACCTACTTCGTTTTAAGGGTTTTTATTAAATATGAACAGTGGGCAGGATTGTCTGAGGGTGATGAGAAGAGGAATGGCATGTTCATATAGCCTGGATTATTAGGGGCTATTGGAGGAGCGGTGGGGGGAGGGTTCGGGGGGGGGGGGGGGGGGCCTTAATTGGACAAAAAGGGGTGTATATTACCTACTTCGTTTTAAGGGTTTTATTAAATATGAACAGTGGGCAGGATTGTCTGAGGGTGATGAGTAGAGGTACAGCATATTCATGTAGCCTGGATTATTAAGGGCTATTGGAGGGGCGGTGGGGGAAGGGTCGGGTAGGGGCGTTAATTGGATATAAAGAAGTGCATATTACCTACTTCATTTTAAGGGGTTTTATTTATTATGAACATAGGGCAGTATTGTTTGAGGTTGATGAGAAGAGGAAGTACAGCATATTCATGTAGCCTGGATTATTAGGGGCTAATGGAGGGGCGGTGGGGGAAGGGTCGGGTAGGGGCGTTAATAGGATATAAAGAAGTGCATATTACCTACTTCGTTTTAAGGGGTTTTATTTATTATGAACATAGGGCAGTATTGTTTGAGGTTGATGAGAAGAGGAAGGGCACAGTTATGTAGCC